GATGTGCCGCAATGGGCATGCGTGTGAGGAGGGGGCGAACATGTGTGTGTGTGTGTGAGTGTGAATGCATACGCAGATTGACATGCACAGAACAAACAGGTACAAATACACAACCATAGACGAAGGAAGACACACACGCACATAACACACACACACACACATAACACACACATAAAACACACATAACACACACACACACACACACACACACTGACCTGGGCGGTCTGTGCCGACGCGGTGGTTTGAGATGAAGTGTTGGATATCACCGCTGACGTCGCAGCGCTCAAGACTCTGGCGCATCGCCTCCAGACGCTGTTACGCACACGCATGTGGAGGTGAGGCAGCGTAGGGTTGGCGGTACGAAGCAGCGAGTAACAGGCTATGCCAAGCACACACAGAGAAAGACAGACAGACAGACACAGGCACAGACACAGGCACAGACACGAAACCACAGGCACACAGGTCAACACACGACAGGGCAACAACACCAGCATGTAGCAAGAACGCACATCGTCATCGGCGACGCATGTGCTGGCGACGAGGTTGGTGAGGATCCAGAGCTTTCGCCGGGTGAGGTCAATTCGCTCCTCCTCCATCTCCTGGAAGTAGTTGCAGCAGGTCTCCTGCTCACGGTATTGGGGGGGGGGGGCGAGGGGAGTGAGCACCAGTTGGGAGCCGCCACAGCGGTGAGCAGAAACATGGACAGAGAGACCGGGAGCAAGCCAATCGAGCGACCGTCATTTGAACACACAGACAAACAGACAGACAGACAGACAGACAGACAGACACACACACACACAGACAGACAGACAGACACACACACACACGCAGACACACACACAGACACAAGCAGGTGCGATACAGGTGTGATCGCACCATTTTCCTTCTCCCAGATGACGCGGGCGTTTGTCGAGGAGGCGAACTGCCTCGTGGTACGCCGTGTCTGCATTCGCCGCGGCAGCCTGGTGGTAATGGTGATGATGGTTAACTTGATGGATGCATTTGATCGAGATTTTGATGTCAT